GACTTTTAGCGCAAAACAACGGACAAGAATTGGAACATGGAATGTACTAACGCTAGCCCAACAGGGGAAGCTGGCACAACTCGCCAGCGAGGCTCGACGCATGAAGCTCGAAATCCTGGGACTAAGCGAAGTCCGTTGGTCAAACTTTGGAGAACACAAGCTGCCGTCGGGACAGGTACTACTCTATTCTGGTATTCGAGGTGAAAACGCTCCCCGCCACCGTGGAGTTGGTTTCCTGCTTAGCGCCCAAGCAAATGCGGCGCTCATCAAGTGGGAACCTATCAATGAGAGGATAATCGTTGCCAGATTCAGAACGCGGGTTCGTAACCTAACCATAATCCAATGTTATGCGCCAACCGATGCTGCCGAGTTACAGGACAAAGAGAACTTTTACAGTCAACTGAATGCAGTCGTGGATAAAATTCCGAGAGGTGACATCAAGATCTACATCGGCGACTTCAATGCGAAGATCGGCTCCGACAACACGGATTATGAGCATGTCATGGGGCGCCATGGTCTTGGCGAAATGAGCGAAAACGGTGAGCTGTTGGCAGAGTTTTGTGGCAATAACGACATGGTGATCGGGGGTTCGCTCTTCCCCCATCGACCAGTGCACAAAGTCACGTGGGTTTCCCGTGATGGACATACCGAAAATCAAATCGACCACATCTGCATCAGCCGAAAATGGAGAAGGAGCCTTCTTGACGTTCGGAACAAACGCAGTGCCGACATCGCGTCTGACCACCATCTCCTCGTTGGAGAGATCCGCCTTCGTATCGCGCGGGTCCAGCGGCGGGAGGAGCGGCTCGGACGGCGATTCAACACACGCCGATTGGAAGATCCAGCAGTAAAAAGGTCATTCGTCGAGGAACTGGAGACCAGAGCTGCGGATATTCCTGATGGTGGCAGCGTAGAAGAGCAATGGACGGCGATCAAGGATGCCTTTACTGAAACGAGTGAAAACAACCTGGGCGAGCTGCGCGCTCAGAGAAAGGAGTGGATCACGGATGACACCTGGAGGAAGATAGAGGAGCGGAGAAATGCAAAAGCCGCGATAGAGCGGGCGAGAACCAGAGGAGCGAAGAACCAGGCCCGCCAACTGTATTCGGCTCTCGAGAAGGAAGTGAAGCGCTCGTGTAGGCGGGATAAGCGAGCGTGGGTGGACTCCCTAGCCGATGAAGGTGAGAAAGCCGCAGCAACAGGCGATATCCGTCTCCTCTACGATATCTCACGACACCTGAGTGGAGCAAGGATGAATCCTAGGATGCCAGTGAAGGACGCGACTGGTCAGTTGCTCACCGACCCCACTGATCAGCTGAAACGCTGGTTTGAACACTTCGAACAGCTTCTACAAGTTTCGTCGGTCAACCAGCCATCAACATCTCGGCATGAACCGCCAAGAGTGCGACGCATCACTCGCGTCAATTCTGAGGCGCCATCCCTACCGGAGATCGAAGCTGCTATCCGAACCATGAAATCCAACAAGGCTCCCGGGGTCGATCGCATATCAGCAGAGATGCTCAAAGCTGACCCCATGCTATCTGCACAAATGTTGCATCAACTATTCTGCAATATCTGGGACACCGCGACTTTTCCGGCTGACTGGATGCAGGGCGTCTTAGTGAAGGTCCCAAAGAAGGGGGACCCAACTGTATGCGATAACTGGCGTGGCATTATGTTACTGTGTTGTGTTCTCAAAGTTCTATGCAAAGTTATCCTCAACCGGATACAGGAGAAGATCGACGCGACTCTCCGACGGCAGCAGGCGGGATTCCGTGCTGGAAGATCCTGTGTGGACCATATTGTCTCGCTCCGCATAATCTTGGAGCAGGTCAACGAATTCCAAGAGTCCCTTTACTTGGTTTTCATTGACTACGAAAAAGCTTTCGACCGACTCAACCACGAAAACCTGTGGGGCGCCCTAAGGCGCAAGGGAGTTCCGGATAAAATCGTCAACCTCATCGAAGCTCAGTATGAGGCTTTCACGTGCAGGGTGCTGCACAACGGAGCCCTATCTGACCCTATTCGGGTAGTCGCTGGAGTGAGGCAAGGATGTATTCTATCACCGCTACTGTTCCTCATCGTAATCGACGAGATAATGGTTGGTGCGATCGACCGTGTGCCGAACCGTGGGTTGCTCTGGCAGCCTATTACAATGGAGCATCTAAACGACCTAGATTTGGCGGATGACGTTGCTTTAGTATCACAACGGCGTTCTGACATGCAGAGTAAGCTCGACGATCTCGCCGAACGCTCCTCAGCGGCAGGTCTCAACATCAACGTCAGCAAGACTAAATCGTTGGATATCAACACGGGAAATCCATCCAATTTTACGGTAGCTGGTCAGGAAGTGGAGAAGGTTGAAAGTTTCCAATATCTTGGCAGCCAGATAGCGTCGGACGGCGGAACCAAGAGTGACATAGGTGCACGGATCAAGAAGGCAAGGGCTGCTTTTGCGAGTTTACGAAACATCTGGAAGTCAAATCAGATTAGTCTCCGCACGAAGATCCGAATTTTCAACTCTAACGTGAAATCTGTACTGCTGTACGCTAGCGAAACATGGTGCGTATCAGCGGAGATCACACAGAAGCTGCAGGTGTTCATCAACCGATGCCTGCGGTATATAATTCGTGCTTGGTGGCCTCACAACTGGATTTCGAATGCCGAGCTCCATCGACGGTGTCACCAGAAGCCGATATCGACAGAAATTCGGGAACGTAAGTGGAGGTGGGTTGGCCACACTCTACGGAAGAGCGGAAATGAAATCTGCAAACAAGCGCTGGATTGGAATCCAGCCGGACATCGCAGCAGAGGCAGACCCAGGGGCTCATGGCGGCGAAGCCTAAACAAGGAGATTAAGCAAGTCGACCGGAATTTGACCTGGGCCCAGGTCAAGGCGAAAGCAAACAATCGCCCAGGATGGAGATCTTTCACGTTGGCCCTTTGCGCCAGGGATGGCGCTCAGGACACTTAAGTAAGTATTTGTTTAATAATTTTGAAAACTAGTATTTTAGCGAACAGTTGCAAGCATATTTGATCAAACGATTTTTTTTTTTACATTTTTCATGCAAAAGAATATGAAGCACTCAAGTTGACTTAAATGTTACACAGTCAACTTACCCGAACTTGATATTGTAGAAATTTTCAAGTTAGGGAATATATTCAGTCACGGAGGTAAATTTTGGATATTTGTAATAGGAAAAGTGGTCGAGGACAATTTAAAGTATGCTCTGCAGATGAGAGGGGGAGGGGTGACCCACCCTCCTTGCACTGTCCCAGTGTCATGGAGCCTTTAAATATTTCCAGTAGCAAAACTGTCATGAAGATTATGCACTTTTGTCCCATTGCTGAAGACTCTTCAGAAAAGTTAATGTAGCTGTAATGAGCTGTAAATTCATCAAGGCTCAGTGAGGAAAAGTTCAAAGTGTTTTTATGATACTTCATGAAGTTAACGATTTTAAGAGTTGGTTGGACATGCTATATAACATGAAGTTAGAGTGTGATAATTTATTAGCTAGATGATAGTCTGAAGAGAATAGGTACACCGCTCGAAAAATTCATGTAAATTTCTTCGAGATATAGCGCACATAAAATTAACGCTAGATTTAGCATAAATTTGCGCAATATTTCGTGTAAATTTAAGCGCAATATCGCATAAATTTGCAATATTGTATACAAGCTTGTAAACTATTTCACTGTTTATGCCATGTATAGCTCAAAATTGAACGAAGGGAGATTTTTCTGTGTAGATAGTTTCGCTATAGCGTACGTATAGTACGGTAGTATGAAAATTGAATAGAAGTTGAAAATGAGCGACAGTACTAGTCAAACGCACTCTTCTTTAACTAACTCGTACAACGTACTAAGGGTTTTGAAGTATTTCTTGAAATCTACTGGCAAAAAGTGTGCGTTTGACTTGCTCATATACTGTCTTCGGCTGTGGAATAGTTCTAGCGACGTTTCATCACTTCCTAAAGCCCCACGCTGCCCAAAGCATTTCTAGTCAATGGTGTGTTATGATGCAATTATTCTTTACCCAACTATTGTGTTGCTCCTCTCGTAGTCAAACGTGCACTTTTTGCTTGTAGATTCAAATCTCCTCGTACATTGTACAAAAAATAGTGTAAATTTTTGTTCAATACGATGCATATAAATGGAGCGTCACATATCATATAAGTTTACATTATCAGTCGTGTGATGTTCTGAAATGATGCAAATTATTGCATTCAAATGCCCATCTTTGTAAACAACATTACTTAAAAGTTGCTCGTTTGCGTGAAATGACATACAAGTTTACGTGAATGAATGTTTACAGAATGTTTGTTTAGATTATTTTTTACTGTGTGGAACTTTGTCGACAATCCGATGCAATAATTGAGCTGTCTCGATATAACCTAACACCAACCTGACATGGGGTTGACATTTCTGATCGGGACTCATTTTTCAGCCATATCAATATTAATTGCATGCAGATGCAGATCGACTTTCAAAAAAAGATTCTCTATACGGTCACTGGTTTAAATTCATTTGAATGAATTGAAAATAATGTTCTAGAAAATATTTTATATATTACAAAAATTGCAATCTTTATTCATATGCTAAATTTCTAAGGCATGTTGAGTCATTGAGGTGATAATTTGAAAGTTAAAAAAACCTACAACCCTTCTTATTTTTTATTCTAGAAACACATTTTTTAAGTTCATTCGTTATTTGCCCAGAATAAAATTTGTACTCGTGACGTTTAGAGTGATGAATGTTGACCATGACGGGAACGTCCCCAATATATATTTTTTTATATTAGGTATTAATTTCATAATATAATAATTATGGGTATCATTTGGCAGAGATGGTGCAGATCACGGGTGAAAGTCTTTTTAATAAATAAATCTAATCTAATCGTAAAATGCATCACCGTGCATCATCATCCATATTATATGCAGTAGGGTTTATCATGTTATTATTATTTTATTTTATTCTTTATTTATTTGTCATTTCAGGTGACTTCTCTCGTGATAAAAGCTTCGATTCAGGATGCAATTCTACTTCTAAGTAAAACAACAAAAATAGTTGAATCATAAAGAAATGTATAAGCTACTCGGAGGATTAAAAGACTACTTTAAGAGGCAGGATATATTCACTGACAGTGCCGTGTTCCGCCTTCATAATAGCTTTACAACCGCACTGCTGTTATCATGCAGTATGATCATCACTGCCACTCAATATGTCGGACAACCAATCAGTTGTATTGTCAATGGGATCCCAGCGCATGTTGTTAACACGTTCTGTTGGATATCTAGTACTTTTACAATGCCGGATGCCTTTAGAAGAGAGGTAAGTAAGAGAGATCGAGGTATAAGACAAGAACATACTACTATTTAAATTAAACCATATGAAGGGACGAGATAATCATCGAAATACAACAAAGTGGTCACATATTGAGATATGTGATACTTTTTTAAATTCTGCGGAATATTCCGCATAAGTAAACAAAAATGTAATACCCCGTATAGACTATGGCTTGTATCATGTAATATAGGCACTGTCTTGCAATGAGCACTCATACATCTAGTTTTCACTGGAAATCCTATGTATGAGTGCTCATTGCAAGACAGCCTATATTACATGATATAAGCCATAGTCTGTCCGGGGTATAAGCTTCCAGAAATTGCGTGCTGCACTAAATGCACTAAATCAAGGAAAACATATATTCAATGTGTATCGAAACGTAACTTCAAACATTCGATACGTTGTTTCGCGACAACCAAAAAACTTATACCCCGTTCACATTACAGCCAATATCACGTAATATAGGCTGTCTTGCAATGAGCACTCATACATAGGATTTCCAGTGAAAACTAGATGTATGAGTGCTCATTGCAAGACAGCGTATATTACGTGATATGCGCTGTAATGTGAACGGGGTATTAAGTACAGGTTATGTTATTGTATTTTGTACGTTCCTCCCAATATTTCGCGAATTGAATTTGAGACTGCACAAAAATCTGCACAGTTGGTGCTCTTTCGAGGTATTACCTTAAAATAAATTGCGAAATTCGTATACAATAACTACAGTACACAACAAAAAATAAATTTTAATATTACATCCAAGAGAAACTTCAATCATGTCGAATATCTCATGTAATTTTTATGGCCACAAAAATAAACAAATACAGTAAAAGCAGCGTTATGTCAGTTCATGCACTGTATTAATGATAATTTTGTCCTTTTTGGCAAGTAATGTGACTCCATATTTTCGACACGATTAAAGTGCATCCGCTTTGATATGATATTAAGGTGATACTCTAAGGAAGCTTTAGTGTGAAACTTTAAAAGCACAAATGTCAGCTTCCACAAAACATACAAATTTGAAATTGCTACTCCTTGTTTGCTGTGCTACTACAAACAGAGAGTAGCAATTTCAAATTTGTATGTTTTGTGGAAGCTGACATTTGTGCCTTTGAAGTTTCACGCTAAGGCTTCCTTAGAATATCACCTTAAAATTAATTTTTTGCTGTGTATTACATGGTGCATGTTGGTACATGACTGCTGAGATGGAAAAACTCGGTTAAAAAAGTTTATACTGCAGGCTATTAAAACCAATCCTCTACCAAGAAGGAGGGTTGCTGAAGCCACCACCATTGGTGTTGTCAACACACATATTATGTGACTAATCATTAATGAAACTTGAATTTTACATGATTAGCTTGCCTAATTTAAAAATTAAAATAATAAATTTTTAATTGCTATATGTACGCGCTTGTTGAACATTTATCATGATTATTTTGCTGCGCAACAAATCAAACATCCATGTGAACGAAGCATAATTTCTCAATGTTTGCATCAGTTGTCTTAGATTGGCAAATAATCGAGCCAAAGAACCAACAACTTTGGCTTCAAGCAAAATGTTCGTGGATGACGTTTCTGCCATCGGACTGATTAAAACACGTATCTGTTGCTCTCTGTTTTTGTTGTTAATTTATCAAAATAAATTGATGATGAATAGTTTGCTACCGACAGTACGAGTTTCCAGCTTATTTCTAGTATTTTTTCATCGGTTTATTATGCCTGTTTTATTTCCTACTGGGTTTCAAAAATCAACAATATGTTTGATGATCATAAGTTTGTTGACATTAATCCACAAAACTGTGCAATTAGAATTTAATGTTTTTTAGTAATCTGTCAAGTGAACTTTAAAACAGAAGATAGGATTTTCCAAAACATGTTAACTTTATGTGAAATTAGTCATTGTTGTCCAGTCGTACACAAAGACTATTTTAATGAACTTTGCCGAATTTTCCGGAAGCAGTTAAATATATAACTACTACAAACCTATATAAACTTATATACACTCAGGTCTTTTTTTACACGGGGGATACGTACCGTAAAAAAAAAAAACCTACGAGATTTTGATTTTTCACATGTTTAAATGTTTTCTAAAAATCGGATTTTGATGCCATTTGTAATTATAGCATGCTATGACATTCGATTACCTATAGATTGAAACGGATAATGTGATTGGAATCAAGTCGATAGGTTGTATCGTTGTCGAGAAATCGTTAAAAACGTACCGTGTAAAAAAAAACCGCTTAAAAAAAACCGTGTAAAAAAGGCTTCAGTGTAGTAGCTAAAGATTTGTGAATTTTTATAAAGTTGTTTTATTTTTTGGAAGTTTGAAGTAAATTTACGGAGTGTATCACTTGTTTGTTCAAATTTGGATAATGTTGGTACTGTTCGTTGTAATTTGATCTTGATCTTTTGTGGTTGTACATTAAAGGGAACATTATTGAAGCAATAAAAATAAACAGCAGCCACACATTTCATAATTTTAATCTTTTTTCACAGGTAGGACGTGAAGTTGCTCATCCGGGTGTGGCAAATGACTTCAATGAAGAAGATGCAAAGAAATACTACACATACTATCAATGGGTTTGCTTTGTTCTCTTCTTTCAGGTGAATTACATTTAAACATAAATACAGTGGACCGATGTGATAGCTGCATGCTTCTACCTTATTCTCATATACATACATATCTAGCAATAGGTCTATTCCCGTAGCTGTTTTTTTTGTAAGATTCTGTACAGCAAAATGCAAAAGTATGTTCTCGTACTTTCTGCAGCATGTGATTTTCTTACCGCAACTTACAGCTAACTGCAGCAACTTACCGCAAAATTAGTTTGCCAGTTATCTCTCTCGGTGTCGATTGCTATAGACAGTTTGTTTATTCGATCATGTGATTGTTCGGAGCGCTGTTGTTGTTTACCAGTAACTCGATCACTTTTGATCACCTTGGAAGCAAACAATTTGATAATGAGTGGCGATGGAGTTAAGAATACCGTCAAGTTTCCTTCGGGAATGGAAGTGTGAAACCCACCATGGGCGAAATAACTAATTTCGTGAAATCTCTGGACGTGGATCCCGTTCCAATGGAAGCTACATACAGGATAGCTGCGGAGAAATCCCTCTTCATAAAGTTTTAGTCCGATGAATCGATGCTCCATATCCATAAATGGATCCGCATCCTTAAATGCAGAAAATCCGTATCTGGATTGCGCCATGCATATGTCTTGCGGATATTTGAATAATGTTTTAGTTTAGATAGGTAAGAATATTTCAGATAGTTTATCGAAAATCTGCCAAAGAATGTAATTTTTTTTTTGCTGAACAATTTCCATTCGTGTGACACGGTGGGCTGTTGCTCTGCCGAAAAATCTTTAAGCAACTATTAATCTGTGCGTGAAGTGACGGTACTGTGTGTATTTTTAATAACGAGCTTAGCAAAAATCGAAACTCTCATAGGCAATCATAAATTTTAACAACACTGTTAAAATAATAACGAAAGCAGGGTGAAGAGAATCGCGAGGATCGGTCTGGTAGCAGTTTGAATAGTAGTTCGTTCGCAGGTGTGGTAACTGGACGTGTTCAATGCCACATTTAGGATCCAAGATGCCTGGGGCTGCTTTCATTAGGGAGAGAGGGGCTCTATATTTCGAAGTATAAATAATACAATAACCGAAAAATCATGAGGTGGTTACTAACTTTTCAGCGTCAACCCATAGCTCTGCTAACTATAAACTGCAAAAATCGCCAAAGCTGCTGGTGAAAGGTGGATGCTGGTTAACGACGAGATGAGTCTGAAGGCCGGAGAAAACAGAAAAGTAGAACAAGCGACTGGATACCAAAAACAGCAGTGACCGTTTTTCGACTACCAACAGCTAAATAGGAGCTATTTTTTTTAATTCTTAAAAACAGCAATGGAAGAAAGAAAACCGAAGAAACATGAAAGTTGCAGGCGCGGGAGAAACTAAGCAGAAAGCTGTCACCTCACGGGCTTAACTCAAACACAATCCCTTCATTTTTTTACTTAACTCCATAGAGTTTTATGAACATTAGAGCCTAATGTACATATATAAAATTTGATAAAAAAAAGTACGGGAATAGACCAAATATCTTCAGTGCAAGATTAGAATTTTAATTTTTAAGCCAGAACCAGGCTAATGTTGGTTTGGGTTATAAAAAGTGTAAGCGTTTAAAAAAAAATTAAATGCATATTTTAAGAAAACCATGCTTTACCGAAGGTCAAAACAATCAGCATTTATGTATAACTGTTGACCTCTATCAGATAATTTGCTGCAGATAACAAATCAACCCAAACAATGCAAAGCGACCATTTCTTGATTATCTTTATCGAATTTATCTTCCGTTAATAACTCATCTTCAGATCCGTTTGCCGTTTTCCAGTCTTATTTTCCGTATCAGATGCATGGTAAACGCTACTTACATTAAACTGTGTATCGATAATAGCCTAAAATGTCTCAACGTGGACGTAGGGCTACAAAAGGAAAATCGCCAAAGAGAATCGATTTGACCTTTTTTATAGTTTTGGTTGATTTTTTATCTACAGCAAGACTGGCTGATAGAAGCCAGAATTAATAAACAGTGATTGCGTTGAAAAGCTAACAATACAAAAAATCCACGGTGAATCATGGGTTTTAGAGCCATTCAAATGATCGGAAATATGATGGACTCACCGAGGAGCTCACTGGATGGAGACCAATCGTCATTGGAGGAGATTTCAATACTTGGGCAGTGGATTGGGGAAGCAGATGTACCAACGCAAGAGGGTATAGCCTGTTGGAAGCTCTGGCAAAGTTGGACGACAGTCTGGCCAACGAAGGAACCATCAGCACTTTCCACAAAGACGGTAGGGAATCCATTATCGACGTCACTTTCTGCAGTCCGTCGTTAGTGGCAAGTATGAACTGGAGAGTGTGTGTGGAGTACACTCATAGTAACCATCAGGCGATTAGGTACATCTTTGGCCAACGGATGCCTACGGCAATGTGGAAAACGAAGGTAAGCAAGCGGAGGTGGAAGACGAAGGCATTCGACAAGGATCTCTTTGTAGAAGCTCTCTGGGTAGACAGCAGCGTCCCAGACCAAGGCGCGGGCGAGTTGACCGAATCGTTAGCGAGGGCATGCAACACAACCATGCCGAGGAAATCGGAGCTAAGGAACAGACGGCGCCCAGCTCACTGGTGGAACGAGGCACTTAGCACCCTCCGCGCTAGTTGTCTCCGAACCAGAAGGCGTGTTCAGAGAGCAAGAACTGATGCAGACATAGCAGAGCGAAGGGTGGTGTTTCAAGCAGCCAGGACCGCTCTAAAACGGGAGATAAAGCAGAGCAACTGCTTCAAGGAGCTGTGTCGAGACGCTGATGCCAACCCCTGGGGTGACGCATACCGAGTCGCGATGGCGAAGATTAGAGGTCCAACGACGCCCGTTGAAATGTGCTCAGACAAGCTGAAAGTCATCGTGGAGGGACTTTTCCCGAAGCACGACCAAATGACCTGGCCACCTACACCGTACGACGAGACAGAGGCAGACAACACCGAAGGTAGACAAGTCTCCAACGAGGAACTCGTAGCAGTGGCGGAAGGGCTAAAGACGCAGAAAGCTCCCGGTCCGGATGGAATCCCCAACGTGGCGTTGAAGGCGGCGATCCAGGCGTTCCCGGACATGTTCAGGATAGTGCTGCAGAAGTGTCTGGATGAAAGTCACTTCCCGGACCATCCAAACAGAAGCGGAAAGGAACTCCGGAACGCGATGTACAATGGCGTGCTAACGCTGAAGCTACCTAAATGAGTCGAGATCGTAGGATTTGCGGACGACGTCGTCTTGGCGGTAGTAGGCGAGACGTTGGAAGAGGTGGAAATGCTGGCAACCGAGGCGTTCGACACGGTTTCCAACTGGATGCGAGGAGCGAAGCTGCAGATAGCCCACTACAAAACGGAATTGCTATTGGTCAGTAACTGTAAAGCTTTTCAGCGGGCAGAAATTACCTTTGGGGAGAACGCCATAGCATCAAAGCGCGTGCCGAAGTATCTTGGAGTGATACTCGATGACCGGCTAAACTTCAATAGCCATGTCGACTACGCATGTGAGAAGGCGGCGAAGGCCATCAATGCGATAACTAGAATCATGCCGAACAACTCTGGACCAAGCAGCAGCTAGTGTATCCGTCGACAATACTGAGGTACGGAGGTCCAGCCTGGGATGCAGCGCTGAAAACGAAGAGAATTGAACAGTACGTTCCGCCTCATGGCCATGCGAGTCGTGAGTGCGGTAGAACAATTTCGACGGAAGCAGTATGCATTATCGACGGTATGATACCCATCGTTATGACCTTGGTGGAGGATACCGAGTGCTATAAGCGAAGATATACCCCCCCCCCCCCGAAGAAATACTCTAGGGGAGTTCCGGGGGGATAGAGGCTAGAGGCGAGGGAGGTTTTAGTGGTTATGCCACACTGTGCCAGAAGGAGAGCACAGACGCAACACAGTGACAGGCCGGGCTTTTGAAGATGTCTATACTATAAAAACACACACACACACCAACACACACACACTCACCCAAACACACACACACACTCACCCAACACACACACACACACACACACACACACACACACACACACACACACACACACACACACACACACACACACACACACACACACACACACACACATCCGTCGCTGATGGCAAACATGGATTGGAGAGTGTGCGAAGGATATACCCATAGCGACCATCAGGCGATACGATATGGCATCGGTCAACGGAATACTGTGGCAGTACGGAGGACGAGAACTTGTGACCGAAAGTGGAAGACGAAAGCTTTCGACAAGGATTTGTTCGTTGAGGCACTTCGTGTGGACGGGAGTCCCGTAGATCTAAATGCGGACGAGCTGACAGAAACGTTAGTGAGAGCATGTGACACGACCATGCCGAGGAAACTGGAGCCAAATAACAGACGGCGTCCAGTCTACTGGTGGAACGAGGCACTTAGTACTCTCCGCGCTAGTTGTCTCAGAGCCAGAAGACGTGTTCAGAGAGCAAGAACGGAAGCAGACAGAGAGGAACGAAGAGAAGTGTTTCGAGCGGCCAGGGCCGCTTTTAAACGAGTGATTAAGCAGAGCAAGTCGAACTGTTTTAAGGAGCTGTGTCAAGACGCTGATGCCAACCCCTGGGGCGACGCATACCGAGTCGTGATGGCGAAGATCAGAGGTCCAACGATGCCCGCTGAAATGTGCCCAGAGAAGCTGAAAGTCATCGTGGAAGGACTTTTCCCGAAGCACGACCCAACAACCTGGCCACCTACACCGTACGGAGAAAGAGAGGGAGATAACGTCGAAATCACCAACGAGGAGCTCGTAGTAGTGGCGAAAGGATTGAAGGTGAAGAAAGCTCCCGGTCCGGATGGAATCCCCAACGTAGCGTTGAAAGCGGCGATCCAGTCATCCCCGGACATGTTCAGGATGGTGCTGCAGAAATGCCTGAACGAGGGTTACTTCCCTGACAGGTGGAAGATACAGAAGCTAGTGTTGCTGCCGAAACCAGGAAAACCGCCGGGGGATCCAGCATCATACAGGCCTATATGCCTGCTGGATACACTCGGAAAACTCTTGGAGAGGATCATCCTAAACAGGCTGACGAAATACACGGAAAGTGAGCACGGATTGTCGGAGAGGCAGTTCGGATTCCGGAAAGGGAGATCGACGGTGGATGCAATTCGGACAGTGGTCGAGAGAGCTGAGAAGGCGTCCAAACAGAAGCGGAGAGGAGATCGATATTGCGCCGTCATAACGATCGACGTCAAGAATGCGTTCAACAGCGCCAGCTGGGAGGCCATCGCCGAAGCACTGCATAGAATGAGGGTCCCTGACTACCTGTGCAGGATCCTGAGGAGTTATTTCCAGAACCGGGTTCTGATCTACGAGACAGACATGGGACAGAGATCGATTAGGATCACAGCGGGAGTTCCACAAGGCTCCATCCTTGGTCCAACGCTCTGGAACGGGATGTACAACGGCGTGCTAACGCTGAAACTGCCCAAAGGAGTTGAGATCGTTGGCTTTGCGGACGACGTCGTCTTGACGGTAACAGGCGAGACGCTGGAAGAGGTGGAAGTGTTGTCAACCGAGGCATGGTCACTGACGAAATGCACGGAGAGTGAACACGGATTGTCGGAGAGACAGTTTGGATTCCGGAAAGGGAGATCGACGGTGGATGCAATTCGGACAGTGATTGACAGAGCCGAGAAAGCTTCCAAACAGAAGCGGAGAGGAAATCGATACTGCGCCGTGATTACGATCGATGTCAAGAATGCATTCAATAGCGCCAGCTGGGAGGCCATCGCCAAGGCGCTCCATAGAATGAGGGTTCCAGGCTACCTCTGCAGGATTCTAAGTAGTTATTTCCAGAACCGGGTCCTTGTCTACGTGACAGACACGGGGCAGAAATCGCTTAGAATCACGGCGGGGGTTCCCCAAGGCTCCATTCTAGGTCCCACGCTGTGGAACGGAATGTACAATGGCGTGCTGACGCTCAAGCTGCCCAAAGGAGTTGAGATCGTTGGCTTTGCGGACGATGTCGTCTTGACGGTAACCGGTGAGACGCTGGAAGAAGTGGAAATGTTGGCGGCTGAGGCGATAGATACGATTGGTAACTGGATGCAAGGAGCGAAGCTGCAGATAGCCCACCACAAAACAGAAGTGATGTTGGTCAGTAACTGCAAAGCAGTGCAGCGGGCAGAAATTACCGTTGGAGAGCACACCATTGCTTCGAAGCGCATGCTTAAGTATCTGGGAGTGATGATCGACGACCGGCTAAACTTTAATAGCCACATCGAATATGCTTGCGAGAAGGCGACGAAGGTCATCAACGCAATAGCCAGAATCATGCCGAACAATTCTGGTCCAAGCAGCAGCAAGAGATGTCTTCTGGCTAGTGTTTCCTCATCAATACTAAGGTACGGAGGTCCAGCCTGGATTGAAGCGCTGAAAACGAAGCAGAACCAAAGGAAATTGAGCAGTACGTTCCGGCTCATGGCCATGCGAGTCGTGAGTGCGTACAGAACCATTTCGATGGAGGCAGTATGCGTTATCGCCGGTATGATCCCAATCGGCATCACCTTGGCGGAGGACTACGAGTGCTATATGACGAGAGAAACCAGAGGAGTACGAAAAATGGTGAGAACGGAGTCGATGGCTAAGTGGCAGCAGGAGTGGGATGCAGCAGAGAACGGTAGATGGACACACAGGCTAATACCGACTCTTTCGACCTGGGTGAACAGGAAGCATGGAGAAGCCAACTTCCACTTGACGCAGTTCCTGTCTGGTCATGGCTGCTTCAGGAAGTACCTGCATCGGTTCGGACACACAACGTCACCCTTCTGTCCGGAGTGTGGGAATGTGGAAGAATCACCAGAGCACGTGGTTTTCGAATGTCCTAGATTTGATGATGTGCGAGAGGATATGCTCGCCCTTAGCACGGAGAATGTCGTCGAAGAAATGTGTCGAGAGGAGGGCACCTTTAACGCCGTCAGCAGAGCAGTAACGCAGATCATGTCAGCGCTGCAGCGAAAATGGCGGGAAGACCAACTAGAAAGTAGTAATGTGCTCACACAAGTGCGAACTGAAAGCCGAAGCCGGGAGAACTCTCCGTCAGAGTAGGCTGTATCCACCACCAGGGATAACCGAGTAGAACGTGACGCTGGGAGATAAATGGCTCACAAATTGGAGAGACGATCAGCGAACTGGAAGCGCCAATTAGCTGAGGTAAAGTGAGGTGCGTAATGCACGGCCCCCTCCGAAGTAATACGACAAGTGGTCCCGGGGGAAAAGGGCAAGGCGTCTAAGGAGGTTTTAGTGCGGTAAGAATCCCACACACCGTGTCACCGCGACTGTGCGCCCAGTCGTCAAGCGGTGGGACGATGGCCTTTTTGAAGGTTTCCTCCTTGCCAAAAAAAAAAAAAAAAAAAAAAAAAAAAAAAAAAAAAAAAAAAAAAAAAAACACACACACACACACACACACACACACACACACACACACACACACACACACACACACATACACACACATACACACACACACACACACACACACACACACACACACACACACACACACACACACACACACACACACACACACACACACACACACACACACACACACACACACACATATATATATATATATTTTTTTATATATATATAAGTATAGGAATTAGTACCGACTTTGGTAATTTTTTACCGAACTATAAACAACTGAATGTTCAGTAAACCTTTGACCCTCATTTCAAAAGCTGGTTCATTAAATTTTAATTTTAAAATACAAACAGTCTTGTTTAACTAATCGAGTCTTGCCATTGCGGGGAAGTTTTCCTAGTTATGAAGCTAGAAAACTAATGAATTTAAATGCCTGAAGACTTCAACTGTTGAAAATTCGGTAAAATCACTGGAGTCCGTAATCATTTCTAAGTGCGTACCTTTAATCATTTAAAAAAAAAAATACCACATGCCATCATTTATTGTCAGTGGTCACTATGAAATAAATAAAGTAAACAGCAATAGCCATCGGTACATTACAATATATTAAAATACGTAAACATTTATTATATTTTTAAAAAAAATTTCAGGCTATAGCATGCTATGTCCCAAAATTTTTATGGGATGCTACAGAAGGAGGATTAATGCGGACTATCGTCATGGGTTTGAACATTGGAATTTGTAGAGAAGACGAAAAATGTGCCAAGAAACAAGCTCTTATTGAATACGTTTTGAAGCGTTTAAGGGTAAGCCGAGTTTTAAATGTAGTGACAAATATATTCGGAAATAACATACAATTCTAACCTTCTAAAAAAATCAGAGACAACCCTTTTCACAAATAAAAAACAGATTTTGTTTTACATAACTAACTACATTTCCACATTTTTCATTTCAAATATTTATTTGTAGGTGAGACATCTGACCTTTCAACCAGTTCCACACCAAATGCAGAATTGAAAAAAAAATCAATTTTTCAGATTTGCATAAAACTGTGCATAATTGTGAGTTTTGGCAATCATTTACATTTGTTGAAAAATCGGCCATTTTTGCTCTGGTAACGTAACTTTCGGTCGAAATGACGTCTGAGACAAAATTGTCTTTTGCAAAAATGTAAATTATTTCCATAACATACAGTTATGCAAAGTTTTCTTGAAAATTGGAGAAGGTCGAGTCAACATTTTAAGTTTTTTATCCTATTTGGCCTGGAATTGGTCTTTCCTGACATATAACTCATAAGAAACCATGCATAAATGACGAAGCATGTTTTTGAACAATTTTGGAAAATTCTTCGAGATAAGAACGTAAGAAATCATTAAGATTTAAACAGTTTAAAAAATCTTGACATCTGGCAAAAATATGAAAACTCAAGTTAA